GAGCTAATGCTGACTCAGAGTGTCTCAGCAGTTTCAGACTGTGCAGGTTTCTGCTGTGTAAAGTGATGTGAGTGAAACAGAATGCTACTATTTATATATTTATTTATTTGAAGGGGTAACACCTTCATCTAGAAGAAATAGTTTAAAAATGTGTTTATCATGATAGAACAAACCCTCAGGCGTATCCTGTAAATATTAATAGTAAGTTTTAAACATGCTGACTCACTGTTTTGATTAGAGATTTCAGTTGTAATCCTGTTGGAAAATTCCACACTGCAGATAAACATATTACAGACAGGATAGGATCGGCCCATGAAGATACAACCTGTTTTTGTATATTTTTTTTTCTGCATATTTCAATTGTTGAAATGTAAACAAACTCATTCAGAGTAGTTTGATATGAGATGATTCACTGTAGAGAAACATACGGACTCAGATGTCCTTACAGTGGTGGTGATGGGAACCAGGGGTCACAACGTCTACCACACAAATATAGTCATTTCATTTACGATCCAAACCCACCGGTGAACCTACACAAGTCTTCTGAGTGTTTATATGGAACGTTGATGATGGTTAAATAGTGCTAAATCTAAAAAAAAATAATCTTAAGACTATCACAAAACAATGTCTCAGACCTCGTAACCATTTCATGTAATAACTTTCTGTGAGAGAGGTTTTAGAGGTGGACGTCTGGTGGCCTATCACCACCGTGAACAATTCTGACTCAGTAAGTTTCTCGAGAATGAAGCGTTTCACATCAAACCACTCTGAATGACCGTTTGATTAAGCAAAAAAAAATGTAATATATGATCAGTGAACTTAATACATTTTTAAATAAGGCACAAATGTCTAAGTACGTATTTGTACCTTTTTACAATCTAACTTTTTAAAAACAGAACGATAAAATAAAAGCCTGGAGACGAGACGGGGTGTGTGGAGTCAGTACAGCTTAGGCAATATTATTTCAATGGATTTATTTGTTTATTTGTAGCTGTGACAGATTCTAAGATGCATAAGAACAGAATATATGTTCACAGTACACAGAATGAGTGCAAAAGCAGGTAAATAGAGACACAAATGTCCTTAAAAATATATATATATATATATATATATATATATGTGTGTGTGTGTGTGTGTATTGCTGTTGTCGGAAGAAAACCTTGTATTTTAATTTTTGTTGTTTTTCAGTTTTTGACATAATTTGAAAATGCCCATTACCGTTTACATTGTATGTAAATTTCATAATGAAGGGACCAAAAGAAACGACCCAAAATGACTTGGAAAAAAGTCTGGTTCCATTGACTTACATTAAAAGTAAAGTAGGTTTTTTCCTTCTCCTGTAAAGTTACCATTTTGGAGATACAAGGTTTTCTTCCGACAACAGCGATATGTATGTATATATGGATCATACAAATAGTTTACATATGCATTATATATATATATATATATATATATATATATATATAATATATATATATATATACACATATTATACAAGAAATTGATATCACAGATATCAGTGATATGATATCACTGCCGGAACTTTACAGGAGAAGCAAAAAACATTCTTAATTTTAAATGTACTTTAATGTAAAATGTTATGCTAAGTCATTTTGGACCGCAATAAAACATTTTATTGAATAAAACCATACAAGAACATGAAATCCCCAATAATTTGTTAAAAATGACGTAATATAGCATAAAAATAAATGAACAGTAATAAAGGTAAAACTGTAATATAAATCATTGTAAAAAAGTAAAATCAGGCATAATAATACAAATTTTAAAATAAAAATAGTAGCAATTAATATCAGCAAGCAGTGATAAAAGTAAGTATTAGTAACGATAAAAACAGATAACATTATTGTATCGTCAGTTTATAGTATATAATTCTACTAGGTACTTTATGGCCATGATGTCCTCTTCTGAGGTCAGTTTTTGCACATTCACGGCTGCGTGTTTGGTTTGGTTTAAAGGTTTGGAATAAATAAATAAATAATCCTTATTATTCATCTTTAATGAATCTTAGGTGTCGGTAATTTTAACGCCGTCCCTAAATCCTCGCGTTGTGATTGGCTGGCCGCAGCCGGTCCGTTGCCGTGGTGATGATAAATAGAGAGCGTGAGGCGCTGTGGGCCTCAGCAGAGGTTCTCGCGTCAACAGTGATTGAACGGAACTTCTTCGTCTGTTTTCCAACTAGATTTTACTTTTGTACTTCGGTTTTGATAAAAAAGGAGAAAATCAGCCGAAATGCAGGCGTCACAGATCCGCCAGAACTACCACTACGACTGCGAGGCCGCCGTTAACAGGATGGTGAACATGGAGCTCTACGCCTCCTACACCTACACCTCCATGGTGAGTTGGCCTTACGAGGCTTTTCCAATTGTCCCGTTCCACCTTAAATGGTGCCGCAGTTACGTACATGTTAGCATTCCTCAAGGGTTCTTTAGTAAAGTCAGTGGTTTTATTTAGAACCATGAGTTCAGTATAGAACCATTTGATGCTTCGGTGGTTCTTTGCATGGTGAAATGGTTCTTCAGCTTGATGGAGAATGTGTTGTATATGGTTGTATATAGGGCCTTTCTGAAAATGGTTCTATATAGCACCAAAAAGGGTTCTGCTGTTGTTACAATGACAAGCTAACAATAGAAACAACAATAGTTTTCTAACGATAGAAAAACCCTTTTTAGTGCTGTACAGAACCAAGAGAAAGAGAAACAGAGAGGAGGAAGAGAGAGATGGGGAAGCGAGACGGAGAGGGCGAGAGATGAGAAACAAAGATGAAAGTAAACAGAGAGAGAAAAAAAGAGAGGAAGAGATGGAGAAGGCGAGAGACAGATGAGTTATATAAGTAAATATTTATAAAGCACATTTTGACTCAAAGTGCTGAACAAGATCACATTTAAAAAGACAATATAAGACAACATCCAATGTATAACAAAACAAAAATACAGCAAAAATGAGTTTACAGAGACAAATCTGATCAATAAAAATAGGTTTTTAATCTAGACTTAAAAGCATCAATAGAGGATGCAGACCTAATGTCCACGGGACATTAGAGAAAGAGAAAATGTTAAAAGTCAGATGTAGACATAGGGGAAAAGAGAAAGCGATGGAGGAGAGAGAAAGATGAGGCCCAAAGACTCAGGAGGAAGAGACATTTACTCTGTTCTTCAGTATTTTCAAATGATAAGACTTTTACATCTGCTCCAGTGTAAAGTAAGTGAGTAAATGAATCTGCATTTTGCTCAGTGACTCAGTCATTAACATTTTAACCTTTTTTTGTGATTAATTTCTTTACAGTGATGACATCATCTGTACTGACTTGTGATTGGCCACATCTCTGACCTTTTGTTTATTTTGCATTTTAGTATTTTATTGTCCTGTTCCACCTTAAATGGTGCAGCAGTTACATTCTGGCACCTGGGAATTTGAAAAAGGCGCCAACTTCACCATACAGGAAGCCAATTTTACTTCTTTCATGTTGGATGAAAAACGAAAAAAGCTGGCTGTTCTATTGCTGAGATTTTATGGTGTCGCTTGTGGACCGTGGCGGTTAGACTTTAGTAATGGTGAACAAATTTTGGAAAAACAGACAGTTTACAATCCATTTTTTTGGACTTAACCTCAGATTTTAGTCAATTTCAATCCCTCAGTTGCTTTTCCCACAGGCCTTCTACTTCTGTCGGGATGATGTAGCCCTTGAAGGCTTCTCCCATTTCTTCAAGGAGAACTGCCATCAGGAGCGAGCAGAGAAGCTTCTCTCCTTCCAGAACAAGAGAGGCGGACGTATTTTCCTCCAGGATATCAAGGTCCGTCTCTCTGAAGCATCTTGAAGAAATTAGCCTTTCCTCTGTTGTGCTTTTGCTCATATTCTTTTTTGGGCTGTAGAAACCAGAACGCAATGAGTGGGGAACTGGACTGGAGGCCATTCAGTGCGCTCTGCAGCTGGAGAAGAAGGTCAACCAGGCTCTGCTGGACCTGCACAAGATCGCCACAGAGAGGGAGGACCCTCATGTGAGTCACCTGCCTATGTACACACATCTTTGTGTCCATAAGTTTGACAGTTACACAATAATACACAAGAGATCTCAGCAGCTTTCAAGGCATACTAATGCATTGCACGAATAAGAGTCAGTGACATCAATTTGGACAAAAATGTCAAAACACAGTCAAAAATGAAGAAAAAATAACTCCATAAAGCTAATTACTGCTTGCGCCTCTGTGGGATCTATATAGCAGTTAGTGCTAATGCCGATTCACTTTTTTGGTCGTTCTAGACTAAACAAAAACATTTAAAGCTAGCAAAAGATATTCTGTGTCTTTTTCCAGGCCCCACCACTGCTTTCTGTTTCTGACAACTGACTGAAATCTGGTTAGACTACAGCTCATATTCAGTCAGTGGTGAAGGCCTAGAAAAAAATTTCCTTACAAAATTGGTCCCATTCATATCAAAATGTGTTTGGTTTAGTCCACTGTCAGCTCCTTATTGTATTAATGGTTAATTTAATGCATTAGGCCTTCTGTCCAGCTCCTGAAGTCCCAACCAATGAGAGAGCTCTCTTAGCTGTCACTGACTAAATGCCATAGAGAAATAATTTGACAACTGGACAGTTCAAGAATGTAACCCCTTTGTTTCCCATTAGTACCTGCAGAGTTCAAATACAGCAAGCAGAATGATTATATTAAATAGAAACAATCTGAAAACTACAGTAAAATTACTGTCATTTTTTTTCGCAGAAGTCATTAGTCATTATCTGAAGGCCTAAAAGGACCTGTAGGTTCATTATTGGTACTTATAATAAGCTTTTGTAACAATTATCACACAAAACCTGATTAACAACACAGTTTATTTACATTCCACAAATAAAACAGCAGTGACGTTACAGGTGAATAACGTGGAGTGGTATATAAAGAGAACCAACCCCTTAAAGTCTCAGACTTATTACATCCTGAAGCTTATTACTGAGTAACAACATGGGGAATAATGCAAACCGACAGAGTTATTTTTAAGTTATAGGAGTGAGGCATAGAAATCTGGACCTACTTGCAGATCCTGGCCAAGCAAAGCAAAACTAACTGCAGTATAATTTATGATGGACACATAACATCACATTATCACTCTTTATCTCTTCAACAGCTGTGTGACCTCCTGGAGTCGCACTTCCTGAACGAGGAGGTGGAGATGATCAAGAAGATGGGTGACCACATCACCAACCTCACCAAGATGGACGCTGGACACAACAAGATGTCTGAGTACCTGTTTGACAAGCACAGTCTTGAGAGCTAAATGCTCCACCAGGCCCATGACTGAACATCTCCATGTTTACAAAATCTATTAAGAAATTTTAAAATACACTATGTAAAGTAACTGGAGAGGTTGGTCAGTTTTGCTTTGTGAAAGCAGTTGTTTAGTGAATATGTCCACAGCAATTTAAACAATGGCTGAATCTGACCAATAAATACTTTAAAGTGGATATGTGAGTCCCAGTTCTTCACCTTAGAGTAGACATACACTTACAGCAGAGTCATTCACTGCTCCTTATATACTACCAATATTGGATTTTAACCCTTGTATGGTGTTGGGGTCTGTGGGACCCATTTTCAATGTTTACCAAAAGAAAAAATGATGTGATTTATTATTATTTCAACCTCAGATTCCTTGGCCTTTGCTCATTTTCTATGAAGAACATACACAATAATACATTTTCAATGACTGACACTGTTCACCCCCTACACATTTATATTACACATGGTGGCTGCTGACTGGCTACAGCTGCTAAAGGAGAACCCTACGCTGGCCACTGGTGATATTTTAAACATCTTGTATTTTTACATAAATTATTATGGCTGTATTGATTTAAAAAATCAATAATGTGGTGGGTCCACCAGACCACTGAGTAACTAATGCATCAACACCACAGGGTTAAAGAATATTTATTTAGGGCCATAAAACAAAAGGGTCATTAAGGTTTGTTGTATTTTAAACTGAGCTCTGAAGGCTGAATGAGACACTAATGCAGCCTTAAAATAAGCTAATTCATTGCTAACGCCAATAAAATGGAAATAAATACGTTGCATGCGCAGGCAAAAATATCCCAACCCTGGTAATTAAAATGGAAATTTCTCTTTTTTTTTGCAACATGGTAATTTCACGTAACATGCATGAAATAAAAATAACTCCAGCTTCTGTTCTTTCAGGAGACTCACTTTCAGTTTCTCAAAGAAATCTGCAGGGATATTTTTTCACACCTCTAAAGTTCAGTCTTCGAAGCTGGTTACATTTCCTGTTTCTCACCATCCAAGTAACAAAAAACCAGTTCAGTGATGTTGAGGTCTGGACTCTGGGGTGGTCAGTCCATTGTTCAGCTTCTTTGGTGTGTCTCCTTTTCTCAGTAAGAGCTTCTTGACAGGTACATATCCTTTCAGACCCATGGCACTGAGTTGTCTTCTCACAGTGGAAGGATGGACAGAAACACCTCTCTCTCCTGAAAATTGAGTAACTTGTACTTAATGGCTGTTTTTTTTATTGGAAATTAAGCAGATGAAGGGTTCTCTCTGATTTTAGCACAGTGCTGTATACTTTACAGAAATGTTTACATGATTATGGAGGTGTTAACCAATAAAAGAAAAGGGTTGAGCAAGCTCAAAAAGCCCACCTGGTGACGGAATACCCTTTCACATGCAGGCGCTGCATTGAGTTCTTCCAGGAGCTCAATCTGCCATGATTGCCTGATTTATACGTACTACTCAACTGAAGGATTACTGAGCTAATAAAGATGGAAATTCACATTCACAAATTAAATGTTAACAATATTGAAACTGATTTACTGACCACTTCAGTATAATGAGTACTGTGTCCAGTTATTATCACGAATACTATATGAAGACAGTAATAATAATGTATTACCTAATAGTAAACCTATCTATCTATCTATATTTATATTTTTTCTTATATGTTAATTTCAGCAAATAAATAGATAATGTGCAGAGGATATGTTAACTTATTTTCACTTATTTTAACTTATTTTCACAACAAAACATGTAAACAATCAATCAATCCATCCATCCATCCATCAGGTGTGGCACAGTGGTGCAGTGGATATATATTTTAGTGAGCTTTTAGCCAAAATCCTGTCACAGCTTCAGTGGTTACCGACCTGCGTTACTTTGCAGAGCGAGTAAAACCAGAGCCCCTCCCCCAGCTCTGATATGATTGGCTGAGCCGTTGGTTCCACTTTCACGTTATGTTAGTAAATCTCTGGTAGCACAGCAGAGGCAGCGCTGCACTAGAGCAGCAGCAGCGCCTCCCCCAGTTCACACCCTATAGATGATTCGAATTAGTGATGTACATTTAATTGAAAAAAGAAATAACACTTAAATAATAATAACACTAAAACTGGCCCAGCGATGTTTAGTTTATAGAGTTCTGAGTCCAGTTTTATCAAATAGACTCGAAAGACTGTCAAATTCAAACTTACAAGCATAATGCACAGTTACTGACAACAAGTAAATAAATAAATTCACTAACAAATTGGAAAAAGAAAATGTGGCCTGTGCAAAACTATGGCACATTTTATATTTCATGTTTTTTTGTTAAAATATGTAAAAGTCAACAAATAAATAGAAATTGTGTAGATGGTGTTTTAACTTATTTTTACTTGGAAAATCAACAAAACATGTAAACTGAGGGTGTTCAAACTTCACATACAATTCTATCTATCTATCTATCTATCTATCTATCTATCTATCTATTATCTACTTGTTGCTCACTGTTCTCTCACTTATTGGACAGTAACAGAAATGCAGAGGCACTGTGACACAGCAAAACATCACATGACCTGAGTTTCCGTTGTTTACCTTTATAAGATAGTAAAGAGAGAACTGAGATCTGGACCCTGTGGACACTCCTCTTTCACTTACGTCAGTGGTCAGTGGGGAGTAACACTCACAGTGACATCATGCCATTCAGAATAAAGGTATTAGCATTAGCATTAAATCTAGTTTGATCAAATACACACAAAAGACTCCCGAATCCAAACTTTCCTGCAATCAGTGTTTGTTTTTTTTACTACATGCATAATGAGCAAAACAAGTGCAGATGCTTCCAGATAGGTGTCCTGCATGATACAATTAAGCAATCAACAAACCATGTGGTATGTATAAAAATGTTAAACAGGCCCAACTGACCTCGATTGTGGAGAAAGATAACAAGAGGAACGGATCTAAGTGACTATGAAAGAGGGTTCTCTATTGGGTCAGGAGCTTCAGTCACAAATACTGTTCAATTGGCAAGTGTTTCTGTAGGAACAGTGACTAAAGTGATGTCTGCATTCAGATCTGTGGGAAAGACATTAGCAAACAGGGTTGGAAACAAACATTTCCAAGTTTTTACACCCAAACTCCTGGTAGCTGGTTAGGGTTCCAGTCTACATCAAATGTGGCCCTAAAGAGTTAATTACGATGGACGGGACTGACTCCCTCTAAGATCCTCACACCTCTTTAATCAGTGTAACATGACTGTTCATCATTAATTCAGAAGGTAACCATGTCTGTCATTTAAACTAGTCCAAGTTCAATTATCCAGACCAGAGAAATGTGAGCCAGCATTTAGCTGAGTCACGCCGTGTGCAGTGTTCTGTGCTGTGTTCTGTGCTGTGTTCTGTAATGTTACACTGTGGTGTTTGTAGGTGAACAGTTTAGTTTTCAGCTGCTGTAAAGGTTAAAGTGTACAGAACACCCTGTACACAGTAATAAAGCAGAACCGAAATGTTGAGAAATGTATTAGTGTTACAAAGTGAGCATAAATGCTAGTTGGCTATTTTCATATAGTCATATAGTTCATATAGTTTTTCATTATAGTCTGTGAAAATTACTTATTAGATACTCTGAGCTAATCTGGTTATCAGCTTTTCATAAATGTACAACTTATTCTATACACAGTCATATGCAAAAGTTTGAACACTCTCTCAAATAATGGGGGTTGTTGAAGTGAAAATAAGTTACCACTAAAATATGGAATTATCCATCCATCCATCCATCCATCCGGGTCGGCATGGTGGCGCAGTGGATCTCGCCTGACAGTAAGAAAGGCCTGGGTTCAATTCCCCAGCCGGGTGACCTCCCTCTCTGTGTGGAGTTTATATGTTCTCCCCATGTCCAGGTGGGTTTCCTCCCACAGTTGAAACACATGCAGTCAGACGAACTGAAGATGGTATATTGCCCCTCTATCTATCTATCTATCTATCTATCTATCTACACTCATTAAAAATATGTTCTTTAGTAAATATAATGGTTCTGTTAGAACTATGAGTTCTGTACATGCTTAAAAGGTTCTATGCATGGTGAAATTGTTCGTGAGTTTAATAGAGAATGAGTTTTATGTGAAAATGGTTCTATTTTGAACCAAAAAGGGTTCATTGTAACAATATCAAAACTTCTTGGTTCTATATCGAACCACTTTAAAAATGACTCTATAAAGAACCATTTACAACAGATTCTCCATGAATTTAAAAAACCATCTATTTATTTATTTATTTATTTATTTTTTTTTGTTATTTTGTTGTTGAGTTTAACATACTAGGTGAACATAAAATATAAAATGTGCCATAACTCTCCCACAGGCCACATTTTATGTTTTATTTTTTTCTAATATGCTAAATTTAGCAAACAGACAGTGATTGTAAATTAAAAGTGTGTTTTCTGTGATGTTCTCTGTTAACTTATTTTTACTTTGGGTTTTTTATAAAACCAACAGAACATAATTTTACCAGAGGCACCCAAACTTTTGCACACAACAGTATATTCAATTTACATTCTTAGTGTAGCAACTTTATCTTACAGTCTGATGTAGCAGTAAGTGAGGGCAGTGATACTGGTGGTATTCAAATCTCATAACAGAGAAAATGTCATTGTGCAGGAAATGCAGTCAACCAAGTGGTTAACATCAAATTGAATAAGTAAAATAAGGAAATATTACTTTGTGGACTTTTAACGAACACTGGTCGCTAATAGTGAGGCTGTGAATGCCAATGACATCACCAATATGTGTATATTTTATAAGGAATGTACTACATTAGTAGTTTATAAAGTATCTGAATGTTTATGTTCTTAAAATAAACACTTATCAGGTTTACTTAACTGTCTATGCAGTCATGAACAGTTTATGCAGGGTAGTAAACCTATAGCTACATTAATTATTCTACAGGTTAGTTGAACTTGTCTGGAAAGGGAGCTCTAAGATTTCAGACTTTGAATACAGCTTGGTCACCATGCATGATGAAGAATTTTACTCTACTGAGATCTCTGAGTGCTTATGGAGCCCCTGAGGTGACATAGTGAATGTTTTTAAGATGTGGCCACAAATTAATATATTGAGTCCACGATTTAATGTATTGAGGCCACGATTTATGAGAAACGCAACTAATGGCTTCAGTATATTAATTTGTGACTTCAATATATTAATTTAGTGCCTAAACATATTAATTTGGAGCCTCAATATAGTAAATTGTGGCCTCAAAATATTAATTTGTGGCATCAATATATTCATTTGTGGCATCAATACACTAATTTATAGCCTCAATATATTAAATTGTGACCTTAATATATTAAATCATGGACTCCATATAGAAATTTCTAGCCTCAATATATTAATTTGTGGCTGCAATATAGTTATTTTTTACTCTTAATATAGTAAATCGTGGCCTCAATATAGTAAATTCTGGCCTCAATATAGAAATTTATTGACCTAATATAGTAATTTATACCCTCAATATATCAATTTGAGGCTGCAATACAGTCATTTATGGCCTCAACATAGTAATTTATAACCTGAATATATACATTTTTAGCTTCAGTATATTAAATCATAGACTCAATGTAGTAAATTGTGGTCTCAAATTAGTAATTTATAACCTTAATATATTAATGTTTGGTCTCAATATAGTACATTGTGGTCTCAATATAGTAATTTATAGCCTTGATATTTTAATTTGTGGCCTCAATATGGTCAATTTTGGCCTCAATATAGTAAGTCGCGGGCTCGGTATAGTAATTCATGGCCGCAGTATATCAATTTGTGGCCTCAATATAGTAATTTGAGGCCTCAATATGGTAATTTGTGTCCACAGTATAGGAAATCGCGGCCTTAATATATTAATTTGTGGCCACGCCTTATTAAAAAATAATCATCATGTCAGCCTAGGGGCTCTGTAAGCGCTCACCCTGGTATTGAATGTCTAATAGGTTTTATACTGCATTTCTTGGCTCTGCGTGTTTGGATCATTGGCCACGCCTTCTCCCTTCTTCCACCGCCAGCACTAAATTCCCGCATTCTGATTGGCTTGCCGCATCAGGCTCGTTGCCGGGGTGACAGTAATAAATAGAGCCCGGGAGCCGCTTCATCCTCACAGCTGTGGGACTCAGAGGTTCTCGGGTCAACAGTGATTGAACGGAACGTCTTCGTCTCTTTTCCACCTAGATTTTATTTTTGTACTCAGGTTTGATTAGAAAATCAGCCGAAATGGAGTCTCAGATCCGCCAGAACTACCACCGCGACTGCGAGGCCGCCATCAACAGGATGGTGAACATGGAGTTCTACGCCTCCTACACCTACACCTCCATGGTGAGTACTGAAACTACAAACTCACGGATTTAGGAGACAGAAATCTGGTCGTGTTTGTGTGAGAAGCTGTTCAGTATATCAGGTGGCAGCTAAGTTGTTTGACCGTCTAGTATTCTGTGAGAAGCTGGTGTTTAAAAATCAGTTTCTTTCAGCTAACTAATAAATAACAACATGATTTCACAGACCACAGGTATCTGTTGAAGCCAGTTCACTACATTCTTGAAATAAAGGCTTATTTTTAAAAATTACTTATGTCGAAACAGTTACTTATTATTTTGACTTACTGTGTCAAAATTATTACTTAAATTCCACTATTTTTGACTTATTATCTCTAATATTATTTTGAAATATTTAAAAATGAGTTATTATTATTATTATTATGAGTCATTATTTTGAGGTGCTAAGTCAAGCGTTGACGTACTTCTGCCAGAAATGGAGAAAGAGAAAAAGTGTGACCATGTTTTTTCTCCACTGGTGAACATGGGCTACCATAGATACTGGTACACTGTAAAAATAAAATCAAGTCAACTTAAAATAATAAGTCACCCAAAAAAAAAAGCTGTGAAGGTGCCTTTTAATGTAAAGTTGTCCTGATCTGTATTTAACAATAGGACTAATTGTCCATGTCCTCTATTTACCTCTTATTCTTTCCAACAGGCCTACTACTTCTCTCGGGACGATGTAGCCCTTGAAGGCTTCGCTCACTTCTTCAAGGAGAACAGCCACGAGGAACGAGAGCACGCTGAGAAGTTTCTGGAATTCCAGAACAAGAGAGGTGGACGCACTTTCCTCCAGGACATCAGGGTATGATTCACTGTTCAAATGAAACTGAGGTCCAAAGCACTGGAGTTGAGTCGGCCACCAAAATGTTTGCAACTCTTTTTTGTTCTTTCATCAGAAACCTGAGCGTGATGAGTGGGGATCTGGACTGGAGGCCATGCAGTGCGCTCTGCAGCTGGAGAAGAACGTGAACCAGGCTCTGCTGGACCTGCACAGGATCGCCACGGAGAAGGGTGACCCTCATGTGAGTTTCACCCCTGTGATCACACGTCAATCTATCATCAGACTTTAATTAACACCTGCAGAGTTCTTCTCTTTCCATTTGAACTACACAGTTAAATTAAAAAAAGATTCTTGAGGTGTTCTTTAGTAAAGACAGTGTCAGAAAAAAAATCACAGCTTACCAATCAGAAACATGGTCATTAAAAGCTGCCGATTAGAGCTGGACTGTGGTGGCAGCCAGACAGCAGACTCACAGACTGATAGTTAATATGATGTTATTGTCTGTGAGCTCCACCTGATTATCACCCTCTCTTTATCCAACAGCTGTGTGACTTCCTGGAGTCGAACTACCTGAATGAGCAGGTGGAGATGATCAAGAAGCTGGGTGACTATATCACCAACCTCACCAGGATGGACGCTGGAAACAACAAGATGGCCGAGTACCTGTTTGACAAGCACACTCTGGGGAGCAAGAGCTAAATTAGGTCCCAGGCTTCACCCAGAGCTTTACAGGTTGTGGTTAGGACGATATGCATTCACTGGTATGGGAATAATATTGTGGTAATATTCTGTGAGTGGTTCTATTTTCTGTGGATGCTGTTCTGTCCTGTAGCTGTTAATGGTCTCACTGTGGCTCAGTGGAAGATTCCTGAATCTGATGAATAAACATTTTGAGCTGGATATTCGAGTCAGTGCATTTTTCAACACTACATATTACAGGTTTAGAGCGTGTGCTCTGTCTGTACTCATTTCTGTGGGCTGTTGTTGATTTTCTAAATGTGTAATAGAACCTAAACACTGCACTGAAGAGGAAAATGCAAACATATTGGATGTAGTACACTGCAAATTTATTGCAGGAAGTATGAAAGATATTACACCTGTTTTTGTATATTAAGGTAAATTATGGTCTGCCCTTTATAAACAGCCCAATCAAAACTTTAGTTTTTTTTAGCAGTTATATTTTTATCATATGTCTGCCAATGGAAGCCGTAATAACATGCTTACAACATTTATGCATAAAACAAATCTGGGACAAATAGAGAAGTAAAGATTTGAGATTAGTTATAAAGAAATAAGCTCTTGTAGACACATTTGTGCATAAGTAGAGAAGCAGACTGGATTGGAACTATTAAAAGATGGAAAAAAGTGAACAGACAATCTCCGGTTTTGCCCAAGTTCATTCTTAAGTTTGTGTGTACAAAGTCATTAGTTAACACAAGTTAGTTTTAGACCATTTTACTAAATTTGGTTGCGCCAAAAAAACACGTTTTAACTAGTAACAACTAATTAATGCCTACATTGCTTTAACAGGATAGTACCATATCATCGTTGTCCAAAGAAAAACAAGTATCACTAAAATAGTAACTTTATAGTAGAGGGCAAAAATGCTCTTACCTTTCAATGTGAGTCAGTGTAAAGATATTTTATTCCAAGTGATTTTAAAGCATTTCTATTGGTCCATTCATCATGAATTTTGTACACAATGTAAAGGACAGCAGCTGTGTTTGAATGATGTAAAAATCAAAAATTAACAAAAATAGAGATACATGGTTTTCTTTGGACAGTGACGATGTTCAGAAACTATAGACTCTATAAATGGGCTACCATGGAAACACCACAGCAGCATCAGTTTAGAACTGCAGCTGTGCATGTGCAGAGTTAAAACCAGAGCGATGATTAGAGCTCTAAGTAAAATCACAGCATATAGCATTTAGTGTTTAGCTGAGTTCACTAAAAAAGTCATGTTTTTGGTCTTGTGTTCTATGTGGTTTCCGTTGGTTTCCCCACACTTTTAAATATTTAGTAACTGCTAATCACAGCATTAAACTATTTTGTATGGTGTAATCCATTTTAATTTAGTAATATTTAAACCTGACCTTCACACATGCCTACAATACAATCAGCCTGTAACTGAACTTATGTATAACTGCTGCAACCGGCCCCTGGCACCATCCACTACAGAGAAGAGGTCAAACTAATGCCAAACTTTACAAGAAGGTAGTTGTATGCAAGAGTTTAGGCCAAATTATGTGTTGTATTGATTTTCTAAGTGAAAGTAAGTGAACACATCCTCTACAGAGAACACACTTCTGCACATTTTAATGCACAGTTACTGTTTATTAGTTGAATTTAACAAATTGGGGAAAAATAAAACATAAAATGTGGCTTGTGCAAAAGTTATAGCACAATTCATAGCATGTTTATTTTTCCTCCAATATGTGAAATTCAGCAAATAAACAGTAATTGAGCATTTAAATGTGCAGAATGTGATTTTCTAAATGAAAGTAAGTGAACACACACTCACTCAGAAAATCAACAGAACATGTTATTTGTGGGGTGTTCAAACTTTTGCATATGACTATATGTATATGAGGGCTTTCCTTATCAGCTCACTATCACAATATGTGCGTGCACTTTTTGGTCAGTCCGTTCGACCAGTTACTTAAAAGAGATGCAGAACTGAACTAATGCTGAGTCACAATGTCTCAGCACAGCTTCAAGTTGTACCGTGTGAAGTCCACAGAGGAAGTGTTCATCAGGTCCCCAAACACCCAGAGCTCAAGGCAACACAAACAGTCCTTTATTATACAGAAGGGAACAATGGCAGTTCAGAGTTACAATGAATGTCCCTTCATTCTGGCCGGCTGTTAGAGTGTGTGTGTTTGTGTGTGTATGTGTTTGTATATATATATATGTGTGTGTGTGTGTGTGTATGTATGTGTTTGTATATGTGTGTGTGTGAGGGTGTGTGTAAGGGTGTGTGAGGGTGGACAACATGGACAGGCTGCTGACTGGCTACAGCTGCTAAAGGACAACCCTACGCTGGCCACTTGTGATATTTTAAACATCTGGTATTTTATATAAATTGTTATGGCTGTATTGATTTAAAAACCAGTAATGTGGTGGGTCCACCAGACCACTGAGTAACAAACACATCAACACCACACAAGGGTTGAGTACAAGTTGTTCATTTTTCCGCATCAAGAAAATCACAGAAAACATCCAAATATGTGCCTTTATTGCAGCTTCCATTCCTTTCAGGTGATTCACTTTCAGTTTTTTTAAGAAATCTGCAGGGATATTTTCACACCTTCAAAGTTTCAGTCTTAGAATTTGGTTTGGCATTTTCTGCTTCTCACAATCAAAGTAATCCTAATTCAAATTTAGACTCATCAGTTCATAAAACTGCACTCCACATCTCAGATGTCCAGCTTCACTGTTCTAGATTCATTTTTCTTCTTTTTTGTCTGTTTTCCTTTCTCAGTAGGGGTGGTGATTGACAGCTACACATCCTTTCAGACCCATAGAGTCTTCTCACGTCGGAAGAATAAGGATAAGGTGATAAGGTGATTTAGCCTGTCAAAATATCCTCCCTACAGTTTCATCTAGATTGCTACCTATAAAGCACTACAGTAGGACATTTGGACAAGGTAGGACAAGGTGTCAGAACACCAGCACTGTGCAGAGGTGATGGTGTTTCCATCATGGTGGTGTCATCAGCAGCTCACCTTAGCTCCACACTGTATATGACATGGTTTACACAGGCAGAGATATGCCGTCGCTCTGTTAGCATTTTCTGAGAAGGATCATGTTACACCTATAGAGACAGAGGGCCTGTCAGCAATTCTGCCTGGGAAAACTCTGTTAACATATCTAAGGTTTGAAATGAAACATGCCAGTTGAATAATCAATAACATTGAAGACCTGAAAGCTATAGATCATTTTTATTATTAAAATCTCACACCTTGAAAATCTGCACAACACCAGTTGTTCCCAAGGGTCAGTTGTTCCAGGGACTCATATTCGTATTTCAAGTTAAGTTTCAAGTTTATGTGTCACTTGCACAACATATCAGGACATTTATGCATTGAAATGCTTGTGGTGAGGCTCAGCTAATCACTCTACAGAAAGTAAATAAGTAAAAATAAAAATACAAGAAAAACAAACTGAAATATATTAAATATACACAAAATATACACAAGATGTACAAAAATATAGAGACAATATACATTTTAAAGTGACTTAAGTGACTTAGTGTTATTATTATTTAAAGTGACTTAGTGTTAAAGTGTTATTGTCCATAGCATATGATATGATATAATAATGATGCTGACAAAGTGACTGAGTGAAATGGTAACTGGTGAAGGACCCACAGCTTCACAGCTTGTTCAGAAGCCTGACAGCCTGTGGGTAGAAACTGTCCATTAACCGGGTTGTTCTAGCCTGAATGCTGCGAAATCTCCTGTCTTATGGCAGGATGGTGAACAGGCTGTGTGCTGGGTGACGCTGTCTGACTGGATCTTTTTGATCTTCCTGAGGCAGCGGGACTGATAAATGTCCTGTAAGGCTGGTAGTTTGTTGCCTATGATGGCTTCTGCTGTCCTCACCACTCCTTTAAGGGTCTTGCGGTCGCAGGTGGTGCAGCTGCTGTACCAGACAGTGATGCAGCCTGTGAGGATGCTCTCTATGGTGCATCTCTAGAAGTTGGTGAGGATCTGAGGACGCAGACCAAACTTCCTGAGCCTACGCAGGAAGAAGAGATGCTGATGGGCAGATCTCACAATAGTGTTGGTGTGGAGGGAACAGGTGAGGTCATCACTGAGGTGTACGCCGAGAAACTTCACACTGCTGACTCTCTCCACTTCCGCTCCGTTGATGAATGGGGGAGAGTGACCACCCTTCTGCAGATTCCTGTAGTCCACGATCATCTCCTTTGTTTTGCTGATGTATTCATGTGATTAATTCATGTGATTAATTTGGATTAATCCAAATTAATCATTCAGCTATATGCAATACATGGCATGTCAGATAAAGTCAGTCTCTCAAAGATATACATTTTGTTTAGTATTGTTTTCTTTCATGTGTACATTCATTTTGTGAGAGTTTTGTAATAAGTCAAGGTCAATGTCACTTAAAGGGGAAGTTCTGTGTAATTAAATAGTTGAGACGTAATCAAAGTCTCAGAGTGGTTTGATGTGAAATGCTTCGTTCTAGATAAACTTACTGAGTCAGAATTGTTCACAGTGGTGGTGATAGGAACCAGACGTCTGAAGAGTTTAATGCCTCTAAAAGCTCCTTCACAGAGTTTTACATGAAATAGTTATAAATACACTGCCCGATATCTGAGACATTGTTTTATGATACTTTTGATGACAAAACTAGGTTTTGACTTTAAATGTACTTTTTAAAATCCATTTGCAGCAGAAAGGTACATTCAGGATGTTGTAAGGCAATATATTACCCAAAGAAAGTTTAAAAAAAAATAAAAATCAGCTTTATCTCATTTTTACCTTCATTTACATTGCCTATAAAAACTCAGAAGACATGTGTAGGCTTACTGGTGGGTTTGAATAGTAAATAAAGTGACTATATTTGTGTTGTAGACATTTTCACACCTGGTTTCACCACCACTGTAAAGAAATCAGAGGCAGCGAGTTTCTTTACAATAAGCCATTTCTCACCAAACTAGACCTCTGAATAACTTTGTTTAAATGTCTGTTGAATTAAGCAGAAAGACTGAAAATTTGGTGGAATTCCCCTTTAAAGTGTGGTATTTATGGAATGTTGCAAATTGATGAGTAAAACTGCGTACGACTGTCCTTCATCTGGTGATATATATCAGTGTATAAGACTACTGTTTAAAACCTCTGAAGGCTCCCTCTCAGAGGTTGTTATTCAAG